AAGCCCACCTAGTGTGATACAGTGGCTTCCAATTAAATCAATTCTATGGTTTGATTGCTTAATTCTGACAAAATTCCAGGAACTTGGCAAGATGAGATCTGGCCTGACAAATGGACTGCCGTGACACAGGTGTGTTAAGACACAGTTTTTGTGCAATGTATTCTAACCCTAAGCCATTGAGTGTGAATGAGATGGTTTTGCCTTCTGAAGAACCTCAGGCCTTGGACAATGACAGAAACATGTGCCTTGATAATGGCTCTCTTTTATATATGAGCCCAGTGATTGTAACTATTTGAATCCTCTTGACAGACTTTAAAAAGTAGCTTGTCACTGCACATTTATGTCATCTTAACACAGGTGACGACTTCAACATGTTTTCCTTGCAGGATGGGAAGAGGTCAGCTCAGTTTGAGCAGACCCTACTAGTGACTGAAACTGAATGTGACATTCTGACAATCAGACCTGATGACAACGGAAGACCTCACTTCCTGTCTCAGATGTAAATCCCCAAATAAAACATACTGAACAAGCAGCAAAAGCACAGCAAGAGTGAATAAACATACTGGAAAATACTCTACATTGTAAGCTGAATTGCACATGTATTTCGATTGATTCTTAGTCATGACCTTTTAAGGAACTAACGCATTGATGATGTCACCTTTGACAACTTTTGCTACTTCAGTAAGGTTTTGATGTGTGGTAATCAACATCAAATTTGATCAGTTGGGTCATTTTTTGTGGAAAAAAGGTTCTTTCAAACCAACATTAACTTGCATCAACATATTTGTTTGTTAAGGTACAGGCAATCCTTAACGGTGTGAAAATGAACTTGTAAGAGACTGCTCTGTCTTATTTTTTTTTTGTATATAAGAAAACCTTTTGATAACCAGAATATTTCCTTGTAGGTCCTGTAGGCACAGTATGTCTCAGGATGGCATCGAGTTTTATAGGAGTGGGGTGTGTCCATGAACTGTGCATGTCATTTTGCTTAAACTTTTAATGAAAGAATGAACTGCGACTTAATGTACTTCTTGTTGCAAGCAATGTCATAATATATTTCCCATCTGTTCAATTGTGAATCAATGTAACGTTGATGTTTCAGGATGTAGAGTAGTTTTTTTGACGTTGTAAAACTGTTGCTTCTAACCTCAGTGGTCAAAGAGAAAATGCCTACTTTGAAAAAGGGTAGAATGTCAGTTTAAAATATTGGAAACTTCTTGCAACATACAGACCTTCAACTCCTTAGCTTGAATATCTGCTGACCTAAATCAAAAGATAACTGTATGGCTCCTATGTATCACTGCGAGTTGATAGTGTGGACCCAAAGACGTGTAACAGACTAATTAAAACGTAGGAGCTCAACATTTGTGTTATTTCAAGTTATTTTACTTAAAATCCTGTGATGATACTCCAAGAGTTCA